AGGTTGTCTGGAGGAGATCCTGAACATCTAACAATACTCAGAAAAATGAAGATGAATTCCACAGAATCATCAGGTGAGTTAAAAATGCAGGGCTCCACTGACACTTTTATACAAGTATAGGAAATCATCACAAAAAATCTAAGAGACATACTTCAAATTATGTGACTGTTAACTTTTGTGAAATAGCAATTTATACTAAATGAAAAATATAAGTCAGGCTGCCAGTCTGCCTGTTAAATTATTAAGGCAATTTAACCTGCCAGAGAAAATGCACAAATAGATCAGTGTCTCATGATCCTCCATTCCTTCTAGCTACAGATATCAAATTCACCTGCCACAGATTAAATAATTGAGCTTTTGTCACTGTAAAGTAAGCTTATTAAGTGCTATCAATTAAAAGCAAACAGAACATTCTTAATATTCTTTCAATAAAATTCTTTTTAAATAAAGGCAAATATAACAAAGATGAAATATTATTAAATGTTTTACTAAGCACTTTTAGATATTTTTAAGTAAAGTAATATTCTTATACACAAGGAAAGTTGAATAGTATGTATGACCTTCGATGAAAATACACAGTTAGAAACTGTCAGGTCCTTTTAGTACCGTAATAACCAGGAGTTAGAACGCAAACCAATAAAAATCAAACTGAAGAAGGGCATGTTGGGGGAAGAAGTGACATGAAGGAAGTTCGGGAGCTCTCCTTTTGAATGAACTCGTGCACACTTCCTACCCAGGCCCAGAGGAAGGGAAAGCAAACGACATTGTTTCTTGTCTCTCTTTACCCCAGAGAACCAAGAAAGTTTTTACATTTGGAAATGGCTTTGTAGGCAAAGAACCAAGTCTCTTTGGTTACACAAGAAACTTTTTATTACATATTTATTCATTTTCTTCACTCATTTTACTAAAAATACAGACTTGTCAAGGTCAAGGATATTTTCTGTTTCCCTAGACTATCACCTACTTTGTCCTAAGTAGGTGCTCAGAGAGCAGCTATTTTTCTTCTTTTAACTAATTCACCTTGTGATTACTCAAATGCTTGCTGAATTCTTATTACGTGACTAGTTGCCAGTGGCCAGTCTCAAAAGAAGTTCCAGGACAAACTAGTTAAAATCACATCATAAGAAATTCTTCAGTTAGAAGAATCAGACAATACTTTCTCCTTCTAAATCTGGTCTAAATCTCAAGAAAGAGGAGGTAGGAAAAAACAGATGTCAGTGAGGCATGCATTCCAGGGTGGTAAAACACAAAGAAAAACTCCACTTAAAAATGAAATAGCTGGGGACTGCACAGTCAACGCCATAGTTCAGAGCATTTGCTCTTTTTCCAGAGAACCTCGGTTCAGTTCCTAGCTCTCATGTCAGGAGGCCCACAATCACCTGTAATTCCAGTTCCAGGGAGTCCAAAGCCCCTCTGGCCTCCAAGGGCACCAACACACTCATACATATAAATAAAAACAAATCTTAAGACAATGAAACTGCCGGGAATGATTGTAGCTACCAAAAGGCAGGACCAGAAGTCCTCATGGCAATGGAGTAGGTGTGTACCTGACTGTGGTGTAGTGGTACAAATCCATACACAGGTAAAAATTGCAATACACACATATACCAGTGCATATAAAGCTGGATAAATCTTGGTTAGGTGGTTAGACTGTACCAGTGACAACTCTGTAAGATGCTACCAATGACTAAAATGGGTTACAATGACAAAAAACCCTCACTGTGCTGGTTTTTGTGGGGTTTTGTTTGTTTTGCAGCTTCTTACCAATCTGCACCACAGAACACTAAATAAAAGTTAACAGCTGGATGTTTATCAAAGCTCTCTTTACATTAGCAAAACACTGGAACCAAAATAATGGCATATACCTATACACCATTATGTTATATAGTTAAAAATAGTACTGTTCTATGTTTGTGATAGACAAGGTATTCACATTCAGAAAGCAAAACAAATGAGACTTCTAAAATATGCAAGAACAAGCTAATTTTCTTTAAAAACAAGGAGCATTTGTAAAGGCATACACAAAAATGCCCTCAGAAAATACTGACATGTTAAGGTCATGTGTTGATACTATCTTTCATATTATTCTGCCATATTTTCTCCTTTTTCTGTAAAAGGCTATCTGTTCTCTGGCTAGGGTTTAGGTAACTTTTGTATGCCTCGGGGTGTAAGAGCTAAGACAAATGGGAAGAATGCATGGAAAGACATTCCAACTCAGTGTGAGGACCAAGGAGCTCCTGCAGGACCTGTGGAACATGAACTGCCACCTTCTGAGTCCATGGCCCCAAACAAGAACGGTGCCTCCCAGGGCCTGGGGAATTCCTCACTGGCAATTCCGTGGACAGGAGTCTGGCTTATGCAAGCTGGGAGAGCAGACCCAGCTGCCTTCCAGTTCTAAAACTCCATACCATCTGATTTCGCAATGGATTTAACAGACACTATCTCTCAATTTTAAAAGCCCCTGATACATTTCAAAGTACTTTCACATATGCTATCTTAAATTAATCTTAGTCTAGTACTTTCTTTTTATCTTGACCCTAACACAGTTCCATAAAGCAGGCGGGGCAGGCCTGGATACCTCCATGTTAACAGAGAAAACTGAGGCAACCAGAAAGCAATCTTTCATATCATGGGATGAGACAAAACAGAAATTGTGACATCACATCTTGACTCAGGACCCCACTCCTTTGGGCTCTAACAGTGCTTGGTGACTCACTCTCTACCAGGGTTTAGAAGCATGGTAGACCTGGGTAAATATGAGTGCTGGCTGCATGAAAAGCCAGGCCTTGGCAGAGTGATAGCATGCGTCAACAATGATCATACACGCGTGGCTGTTCCCACCAACCCAAGTGGACTCAGTCAATGTCATACAATCAATGTATTAGTTCAGCTCAAATTCATGATCAATAAAATCAGTTGGCTGACTTGAGCAGCCCAAGAGGCTGGTGACTGTAGTTAGGAGCCCCATTCAGTATGCTTGCCCCTTACCTAGGTCTCTATAGCCCCTAGTAAAGGGTCCATAAATTGGGCTTCTGAGTGAGTTAAATAATGAATTAGGTTCAAACTGGGCTTAATAAAATAAGACTTTGTTACTTTTGCCAGTGGAATTAACAGAGGTTATTCTGTATTTATTTTGCTGTGGCAGCAGATTAAACACTTCAGAAATAACGTGGCAATTCACCAAAAGAGGTCTTAGCTAGGTGCTACCTGAAATTATGAAACTAAGTGGGAAAACATACATATGGAAAAGCTTCTGTGTTTTAGAAAAATCCCCATTTTAGATAAACGGTACTCTTCACAAAGCACATTAAATACATGACATATTTCACTGGCTGATCAGGCCATTTATGCACATGTATCATTTTCTGTGTGTCAGGCCTCATGCTTATTGCTATGGGAGGAAACTGGAGGGGGGGGAGGTCAGCAAGGTTAAGAACATTTCCCTGTCACACTCACAGTTACCAGGTGGAAGTAACAGGATTTTACCCCAGCACTGATGAGCTCCAAACCAGTCTACTTCACTATTACTTCTTTTCTCAAATTACAAAAAGCATATACCCTTTTTATAAATGCGATGCAGAAAGACGCTTATGATGACATACTGCGTCATGTCAGGAGACATAGTGTAAACACAGGACCCCGAAGAACAAGAACAATGATGCTACACTTACCATGTAAGGCCACACCAGGAGACAGAGGTGGAACATGTACATGGCCAAGAACAACGGCCACTGGGTTTGGTGCCTTCACCTTGCTGAGACGTGAGTATTTCCGACTACTGTTACTACACAACTGATCATACTGATAACGACACAGACACTTGCAACACGTCCTTCTCAGCTCTATAAAATTCCATTTTCACTCACACAGCAGTTGTCCAAGCACCTGCCATATACCCAGCTCTGCTAACAGCAGCAAGATTACTGCAGTGACTTGAGCAGGCAGAAGTTCTAGACCTGACAGAGTCCAGAAAAGCTTCAAGGGAGACCGAGGTAGTAGATAGGGAGCTTGAAAACGGGAGACTTTGGTTTAACCTGGCCAGGTGGCTATAAGAAAATTACTTGAGTCTTTCTGAGTCTCGGGTCCTTCACTTCTAAACTGTGTATAATAATGTCTGTTTTTATTATCTCATCTTTTGTTAGACAAAATGCTAGTTTATGATTTTACATGTGGAAAAAATGTTACTTATTCTTTGGTCTTGGAGAAACAGGTAGTTGAGGAGGCATAAAAGTTTTATCCTCATTATTAAATCCCTCAAAATATTTCATTCCATATTTTCCATGATCAAAGTTTTCCCAGGGTAATGTTAACCATATGTAAGACCAGCTGGGTCACCATACGGTCATTCTTCCACACCTAGCCACCAATCTCCAAGTCTGTGTTACAGGCTTAAGATGCCACAATTATGTATGCTTCCTTTATTATGGGTAAAAGTAGGACTTCTAGCTTGCTGATTATTTAAAATTTTATAGAAATGGTATTTCTTGATTAGCTCTTTAGGAACAAATCCTTTGAAATTATTATTTGACTCATGCAGTAAGTTTCCTTCCAGTTTCCTCAATGATGATTTTTCATCATGGAAGTAAAATAGGAGCTGGGTGTAGTTGAGTGTGTTATAAGGCACAAGAAGAACCATTTCCCAGCACTGAAGCCCACTTTATTGATTAAATCAAAGAGAGTAATGCAATCTCCCTTTACTTACCTATCCCTTCCACTGTTCCATGGGTGTGTGTGTGTGTGTGTGCGTGTGTGCATGTGTGTGTGTGTATGCATTAGGGGAGGAGGGGCTCCAATCTATTGCCAGGCATGGCACACAAGTGAAAAGAATATTAGCAAAGTTAAAGTCAGAGTTAGGAAATACCTCCTTGGGAAAGTTTTCACTCCAACCAGCACTAAAACGACTATTGCGCTTAACAAAGCCATTGTCTCTTGACTGCCTCAGACCTTTGAGACAAACCTGTGAGTGAGGAAAGACCGGGGGAGCAAAAACGAGTACTCACTTCATCTCCAGGATCTCCTCCAGCTGTTTCCTCCTCTCTATCCGGAGGTTGGCCAGGTGTGCTTCTTTTTCAGCCAGAGACTGCTGGGTAGAGGCAAGGCGTGCTTTGGTGGCATCCAGCTCCTGTCTGGTCTTTTCCAAGGCATTCATCAGCTCCTCTATCTGAAAGGCACATGGAGGTCCAGCTGTGATTTCTGCTGTGATTTCTCCTTCATTTAACCACAAGGAATTTCTTGTTAGCATGTACTCTGACAAGAAACACTGAGAAATTATAGGTCTTCTAAAGCTATACACAGTTTCTTGGAGCCCATTCTTTCTCTGTCACTGATGAAAAATAAAGCTTTCAAATACCCAAATCTCTCCAAGGTCTACATTCAATGACATTGTCCAATAATCTTTTTAGAAGCCACTTAATGTGGTTATTAGAAGTTGGCAGTTGAAGAGCCTGACCCAATTTCAATTCATGTTTAATAATTTCAGCTACTTACCCCTTGCTATAGGAAGGTAAGACTCAAATGCAGTCTCCCTGGCACAATATACTTTTGTATGGAGGTCCCAGAGTATTCAGACAGGAAGTTAATCAAAGTATTTCAGATTCATTCATGTTTTAACTTATCAAAACCTTGTTTGGCTAAAACCATTTGATGTTCACAGAGCCTCAGGAACCCTTCTCACCTCACCTCCCTGACTTACAATCAGGAAGCAAGGTCTGGCCAAAGGTAAACAGAATTCCAGCCACAAAAGGTTCAGGTTTGGTTTGCCCCTGAAGCTTGAGAGGGTTCAAAACTTGAAATGAATGACATGTAACTTTTATAGGGTGCTAATACACCATAGAAGTAAGCCAGACTATCAAGTATCTAGGATTTTCAGCCAGATCCCCCAAAATTAGACCGAAGAGCTCTGAGGCGAGGCTTTAGCCTCCTCAAACCATTGGGGACTTTTAAATCTGACACACAACTAAGAGGACTGGTGTTTATGGTCATGTTCCAGAGACGTCCATGAAGCTAGCTGGTAAAATGCCATCCTCTGTACAGATGCAGGCTACATCCATCCTGCTGGTTCAACATCATGGTGCAGGAAGTTTCTAGATTCCAGAGCTGATGTGTGGGTTTCTAAGCGTCCCTTTCCAGCTGAACTTGGCAGCACGGGCTCGTCCATCACTAAAGTCAACAGAATGCCCTTCACAATGTGTCAATGACATGTTAGGTTCCAATTCATAAAGACTTTCTACACACTTTCTGCAGTTTTACATGGACTTCATTCAGAATAAGCATTAAAGTTTACATCCAAGGTAAATTACATGCTTTTAAGATTTAGAATACCCTCCATCTTGCCCTGATAGAGTCAACTTAATGACCATGTAATTTGTATCAAAGCAAAAACTGAAACATTTGAAAAGCAAATAATATAAAGGATAATCTATGAAAGTCACAGAATGATATCTGCTGAACTGTAGAATAACATTACAAATGCATACGATCAAGAAAGCAATCAAAATTTTTAGTTTTTCATATAAGTGCATCACAAATGTAACTAGAGGCCCTTCTCAAAAGCAGTACACAGTGAGGTTAGAGCAGTCTATTCCTGTAGAGACTTAATAGCAGTGTCAAAAAGACAATACAGGCTGGAGGGATGGCTCAGTGGCTAGGAGTGCATAATGCTCTTGTAGAGGGTCTGAGTTCCATCTCCAGCACCCACATCTAGAGGCTCACAACCGCCTGTAACGCCAGCTCCAAGGGATCTAACACCTGCCGGCCTCTATGGGAATCCGGACTCACACGCACATATTCCCACATAGATGCGCGCACACATATAATTAAAAAATAAAAATAAATTTTAAACAAAAAATATCACAAGATAGTCATTCCAAGGACCGATTCAGAGAGTGTGCCTGATTCTCTACATGGGATGGAGTGTGATCTCATTTTCTGTCATGAATGTTCTTTATTTCAAACAAGCTATGTATTCCAGGGAAGAGAAGTACTTCTGGGATTCTTATTCGCTCTTAATAGTTGAGGCTGAATTGTCTCAATTTGTAGACACAGAACTACTCAGCTACTACCAGACAGCCTGGGACAGATGACAGCTAGCTTTGACCAATTATGGTGCTTATTCACTCTTAACAGTTGAGGCTGAATTGTCTCAATTTGTAGACACAGAACTACCCAACTACTACCAGACAGCCTGGGACAGATGACAGCTAGCTTTGACCAATTATGGTTTACAGCATTGATTTGTTGTGTCAGCAACACTATTTGGAGAACCTGGTCAGCTGGGAGCTATAATTCAGTGTTTTAAAGACCAGGGTGCCATTTACTTCCAACATCAAGCATTCCCAGAATCAGGAGACACCGCTGCTCCTAACACTTTGGAAGTAGGGCTTTTAAACAACATTTCAGTTTAAGACACCCTCCCATCCTAATTGGTGTATCCTGAGACAGAAAGTACCGCCTGTTGTGGGTGGTGTGAGGCACTGGCCTCAGATCCACAGTTCCTGCAACTTTAGCAAATAGTCACTCACTTTCTAGGCATTACCCATGGTTATGCTAAGTTTAATGTTTTAGAGTTCTGTAAATGGCTCCTCTACTGTCCAAACATGAGCTTTTAAAAGCAAGAGATATTTTCCTTTTCACAGTGGTCATTAGGTTGCACAGAATCCAAAGGCTACAAATGTGAAAACAATTCTTTTCACTTGTAATTCATAACACTATCTTTAGTTAAGATTCCCCCCAAATCTCATCACCTAGAAATAAACATTATACATATTATTTTGTTATAATTTTTCCACCTCTATATATGTATATGTACAATTGAGATGCCCTATATGAATGCTCAAACATACAAATGTATAGTTTTGTAAACAATAAGCACTGTCCTTTGTCATTAAATAGCTTACAATTTTAATAAATGAATGTTATTCTGTCCATTCCCATTTTTCTAAATCTTATGCTTTCCTTAGTTCTATGGGCTAAGGTTTGTAACACCTTGCTGCCCCCAGAACTCATAACATGAAAGAAAGCCTAACCCCCTGGCTAGTGTCCTGGGACATGGCACTAGGATATGGTGTCTTTGGGAAGGGATTAAGTCAAGAGGGCAAACTCATGTAACACCTCCCTGCGCCCAGAACTCATAGCACGAAAGCCTAACCCCATCGCCCAGTGCCCCGGGACATGGCACTAGGTGATGGGGTCTTTGGGAAGAGATTAAGTTATGAGGGCAGAATCTTTATGAATGAAACTAATTCACTGATAAAAGAAGATCAAGGGAGTTGTTTCTCCTTCCACCATTGAGAACACAGAAAGAATTCAATACTACACAACCTGGAAGTCAGTCCTCTCCAAAACCAGACCACACTGGTACCAAGGTCTTAGACTTTCCAGAAGTGTGCAAAATGAATTTCTGTTCTTTTTAAGCTGCCCAGTCCCCAGGAGCAGCCCAAACACACGAAGACGCTGAGGAACTTATTTTCCTTACTTTTCTTCGAATTCCTTGCCTTCCTGCAAATTCAGTCTTTTCCCTCTTGTGATTCCGACCAGAGATACTCCCTTTATCTGCAGGCACAGATTTGAAAGGATGGAGTTACTGAGGGAGTGGAGTGAGGGGCCACAGCAATCCATAGCTCCTTTTTGTTCACTTGAACTCTTTCATATGTACCTAGTCATCTGCCTATCAATTTCCATCTGGATGCCCTAATATCACTTTAAATTGAGGAGGCCCCAAAGCCAACCCTTAGTCGATGTAACACCTGCCTAAGCCTAAACCAAATGACCATACTACCTGCTCCATCTCCCAACTTGACACTTCCCAATATGCACCTACCATTTGGGCCTAAATACTTGACCTGTTTCCAGCCATTCATGTTTAAAACCTCAGCATCCCATGTACCTCTTCCTTCCCCTTTCTCTTATTTTCCATTTATCACCAAGGCCACAGTTTGCTTCTGAGATCCATCATTATCTCTTATTATTACTTTCAACTTCATTAGCTCAGGTCCCTACTCTCCCACATGCATGACACTGAAAGCAATGATACATACATGCATACACATGTGTGCTTGCATGTCTATGCATATGCACATGTGTGCTTTCCTAGTCTCCAGCTCCATGCCTGCCCTCAGTGAGGACATGGCTTGGTCTGATCAACTTCTCCCCCAGCAGAGCACATTTCTCAGCTAAGTCTGATCCTGGATTTTATGAAACATAATCAGAAAAGGGGAAGCAAAGTACGGGCAAAGGGAAAGGCTTTGCAGAGCAGGCTAAAATGAAAAGCAGGAGAACAAAGTTAGGGACGGGAAAGAAAGGAAGCTCTCTGCTATGGATGGAGGGAGGCTTTGTTTTGCTTTGAAGGAAGATTAAGAGAATTGAAGGGGAGAGAAAGGAAGACAGAAAAACAGCTGCTAGAAGTTTCTCCTGGTAATTCTACAATGTTTTCTAAAGACTGAAGTTGAAGATCGGCCTTCCCTTATGATTTTTTTCACTTGTTTTGACTATGTGTCTTTGAACCGGGCTCTGCAAGTCTTGGATTCAAAGAGGTTCCTCAAGAATCATGTCACAACTCATATTCCCATTAGCAAGGACACATGCCTAAATCATCAACATCTGTCAAAAGTGTCACTGGCCTAGATCTAACATCTGGAAGGTTCTGATTATCTATAGAAGTGGTTTTCAAACTGTGTTCTGCAGATCACCAAAGAGTCCATCAAGGTGTCTGCAAGCTGAGGGGTCAGCAGAACCCAGAACAGGAGGACCTTGAATCAGCATGGGTCTCAGTCCACCACCCCAAACTCAAAGGGAGCTAGTCTACTTTTGCCTATTTTATATATGGTATTACACTTGGGATTTCATTTGAAAATTAAGGTCTTAAGACACTGAGAATAGCTAAAGTGTAAATTATGATGCTAGACTCTTCTAACAATTTCTACTTCATCACTTACTAGTTATAGAACCTTGGGAAAGCATCTGAGTTTCTTCACTGATAACGATGGTACTTTTTGAACAAGTTATGGTTGTGCCACATGAAACAATGTATGTGAAGTTTTGGTGCAGAGCCTGACAAACATGAAAACACGCAGCACATTCTTCATGCAAGAGGCGGCATAGCATGGCGCTAAGGCACAACTCAGAGCTGGTCTGCCACTGGCAACTGGGTAACGGGATAATGCA